CCTGCTATCTTCATGAGGCTTTTCGTGGGCTTTGCCACTTATATTTTGTGCGGGAAATTCATTTACTGTTTGCTTTTTTTCCATTTTTCTTTGAATCTGATTTATCTTCCTGTTTTTAACCTTAGTGAAATGAAGTCGGGTTCCAGGGTAAAAAAAACCCTGCATGAAACTGCAGCTTATGCCATAGAACATTCTGCAGTTGATGTTCCAAGCCAATGTCCTACGCTCCACCAGGGTAGATAGTTTGTCAATTTTTGTTCTTTACTCAAATTGAAAATGATGCCTTAGGGTTGAGTTGATTATTTTAGTAGTGGAAAATGGGGAGTTCAATTTGCTCGATCTGCCCTGTCTCCAAGCAGATGTGGAGCGTTTGTTGGCAGCCACTACACAACGTATGACATGCCTCTCTCACTATCTGCGCGGGTTGCCCATTCCGACACCGATACTGCGTAATGTTGGATTGTTGGAGCCTGATCCCCAAAATCGACCTCAGCATCCCCGTGAAATGACCTCCAACTCTGCGGATGCATCTGCACGGAACACCTCTACTACTGCCGAGGACGGTTCGCTTGTTGTAACTCCAAATCCTGACAATCCCCTGAGTCTCATCTTCTCCTCTCAGAAGAGGCAACAACTTCACCAGCCATCACAATTAAAAACCGAAAGTAAAGAGGTTTCATCAGATAAGAAACATAAATCTAAATACGTAAGCTGTTCTAGTAATCGTCGTTTCACTTTCAATTCCCATCAAGGTCATATTTAAGGGCCAAGGCTGTTGGTTTTTCCTATGTGATTTTGGGCGTTTGCTGATCTGGCAGTTAACCACCGTACTCGTAAAGATCGTTTTGGCAATCCACATTGCTAATAGCAGCCATTCTATAGTCTTGGTTAAGGGTGTTATTAGTCTTAACGCTTGTATTCATAATGAGTATGCTTAATTTTTGAATACAAAAGGCTGACGCGTAGCTTTTTCCTTGGATTTGAATCCTTATAATGTCCGGTCCTTTTGTTTTTGTTACTAGCGGTACATGCTCATAACTGCACTTCTACTAAGGGAATTCGCGGCTTTGAGGAAGAGCAGGGTTTAAGAAGCGTCCATTATCCAATTCCTAATTCATCCACATGTTTTTTATTATATATAGGCCTGTTTGTAACAGCTACTAGGAAAGTGTGTTAATTTTTTCTAGACTTCCAAATCACCGAGTTCGGGTGCTCTGAGTTCAGTAACGTCCCCGTAAGTTTCGTTTACTGCATGTATGTGTCGCTTTAGTCTTACAGTGTAATCTGAACACCAAAACAAATTGTTAATTTCTTTAGCCATGATATTCCTAATCGGTTTTGGGCTCTGATGGAGCCGTACTGTGCGGACATCACCGAATCCAACATCTCCTACCTTGAAGGTATCCTCAAGTCGTACGTGGAGGAAGCCACAACATCAAGATACTTCCTTCTACCGCAGCATAAGACTCTCAGAGATTTTGTGCCATCCGACTATATTTGTAAGACATAATATCGGGTCCCCCATTATCCGTTACTTGCTGTTGTCTTACAAACTGCTTGTGTTCACAGCGCCTAAGAGAGTACGGAGGGACCTCACAAAATCGGAAGATTCCACCTCAGATACTCCTGAGGCATCCCCCAACCAAGGGCATGTCTCTGAGGCTTTCAAGGCGGCCTCGGAAATGATTTCTCTTGCACGTCACGTCGATTCCCAGCTCAAGTTAGTTACCTTTTTCGACCTTTGACCCTGTAGTAATGCTATTTAGATTTCCACTTTTTGTAAATCTCTATGCACAGAGAAATAAGACCATCGTCCTCTTCGTCCGTTGAGCATTTGCTGTGCTCCCTCGAGAAGGACCTCTACGACGACAATGTATCCTCTGTTCTTCGTGAAGCCGTGGCGCATATGGCTCAAGAACGTATGTTTCGTAATGCTTTTTACTACTTGTCTTTCTATGGGACCTGTCTGATTGCTGAGGTTCCTTGGTTTAGGTTACATAAATTTAGTGATGCCATAGCGATATTCGAATGCATGACTTAGGTTAATTTGCGGTCAAGAGCGTTCTGCTGCGTAAACTTCTTTTGTATATAGCCTTAGGAACCTTCTCGGAGAACCATTCTGCTTCGACTTTCGCATTTCAGTTCAGTAAATATTGTAATCGATTAATTAATAGGAACAATTCTTTCCTGTTCGAAGAACAACAAATTTGAAGATTAATCTACCTTGGTTTGCCTCGATCTTGGTGACTTGCTTTCCATAGAAATTCCCACATTAAACTAAAATCAGGCAATGGAACTTAAAGTAACTTCTTGCAAAGTAATACTGGGCTCAGTTCTTATTTTGCCCGAAAACTAAGAATGTTACATGTGCATAACGCCACATAAAACATTCTTTATACTTCCGGTCTCACATCGCAGTTGCAGTAAACTCCACAGCCCCCGAGAACGAAGAAGCGTCTGTATCCCTACCTATGCAGAATAACAAAAGTGACTTGACAAGTGTGTGCAGCCAGCCCTTGAAGAACTTGGCACGTCAACTGCAGGTCAGTTCGTCTTTTCGTGTGGAGAAAAAAATCAGTCAAGCCAGTGAGGAACTGGGATTGTTTCCATTGACTCTCTACCTCAACCACCTCTCCCATCGTCCGGAGAGACCGCTTATTCATATACCTGAGAAGTCGCGTGCTCCACCTACCCGTGAGTTCGTTTTATCTGCCTCATCACTTTTTGCGAACCTTCATTTATTAAAATTGAAATGCCACCTTCCATCAGCATAGGTGAAAAGCTCTTCATTTTGCGACTGCGCTTCTGGATTTTTCACCGTAAAGTTTAACCAGTCCTACATTATTCGCCTTTTAAAGCTGCTGCTCGCTTATTTTGAAGCTTTTTATATGCTGCTTTATAATTGCTTTTCTGGGTTTGATTTTCGTGTCGCCATTGCCCAAGGGATGTTTCCGGTGGACTTTTCGAACACAGGATTTGTTGATACTACGAGTTGATTTTCGACAGAATGAGCCTAATATTTGGGAGACTAGAGCAGATGTTAAAGTATTAAGTTTATCATCACTTGCTGAAGATCACTTGAAGTTAAATTACAGATCACGACCTAAGCAGTACTTCAAAATTGGGCCTCACTAGTCTATTCCTTGCTGCCTTGGCACATACACGGACTAAGGTAGGTTTACAGTTCGAATTTTTGTTTGGCTTTGATAATAGCAGGAATCTGTTCACTTCGTCGGTTGCATAAAAAATGTACTATTGAATCATTATTTCTAGTCGCGTATCCTGATACGTCTACTCTGTTATCATTAGCAACTTCTCACTCAGGCGCGATAGCGTGCTCAAGACCAATTGAGTTAGTGTTCGAGGTTCTGCCGCAGCGATGAAGTAGTTGCTTTCAAATAGAAGCAATGATTCATGCTGAAAGTTACTGCCGTCTCTTATTGCCTTACATTTTGGTAGATTTTTTTTGTAATCGACTAGCTTATTTTCCGATTCGATTATAGTGATAATTCGGACCTAAGGGAAGGGTTAATGCAGCTTAGGAACTTACCAATATGTCTCTTTTAATCTATCGGATATCCTATCTTTAGTCCTCCTTACCAACATAGAATACTAAAAAATTGAGCAACTAAAAAGTCGGTGTCTTAGATGTTCATACTCTCCTTCTCCTGCTTAATGCTGAAATTCGGATTGTGCGTTTCCTATTTATTTCCCTTGTACGTGTTTTCTTTAGCTCCTGAACCATCAAATCATGGACCGATGACGGCAGCGGATTGCAAGGGTCCACTGCTGAACGGTCTCGATCATTCGCCCAAGCCGTTTCCTTCATCACCTTCTTCACCTCACTCCAACCGGCGCGACCGACTTGAGCTAATTGAAGTGTGTTTTTGTCTTTCCTTAGCTCTTGAAGTCTTGACGCTGCACCTGTGGGTATGGGTTTCTAGGTGCATACTCGGCTTATTGCCTTAGGAGTGGTTTTAAAATGCCATTTATTCTGTATCACAATGATCGAATCGATTTGACAAGGAAAGGTGTTTCAACCTCCTCTTTCTGACAAGTAAACCGTCTCTTTTTCTGGCTCTTCAAATCGGCTTTTGGGGATGCTGATATAGTTTTATGGCTGGATATTGGTGAATTTGGGCGGATATTCCACGCCCAGTTATTACAGTAATTTATTTTGAGGACTTTGGCTACGAAACTTTTTGGAACCGAACCACCTAGTACCATACAAATGCGATTTTTTTACACAAGAAATAAATGATTCTTGACATAGGAAAGTGGGCAGACGTAAATCTTGTTAATTGTTCGCAAAAGAAGTGTGACGACACCGCAATTTTGAGCTGGCAGGTCTGTAAACTATTTTTTCTCTAATATGAAAAAGTTAGATTTTTGGGAAACTGTGGTCATTGTGAGCGTTTTGAAAGTGCAACCACTTAAGGCTGGCCTAGTATTCTTTTGATGAAGCTTGGGATTCGCGCTCTGATGTTAGGTGTCATTTCCCGAGTTGCTTCTGAAGGCCTTACAAAGCAAACGGGCGTAAGTATGGCTTCATTACTAGTGTGTAGAAAAGAGCAGAAGACTTTTAAAAATAAGTTCTATTAGTGGTGAGGAAGGCTATCCATTGATGGACAGGAATGCATGTATTTATGCGGCGTTTCCATTTCGTGTTAGCATCAAAAGTCTTCCACCTCTCAGTCAAACGGCTGTGTTTCGCCGAGGAACCAGATAGAGAATGGCGAAGAGATTTCTACTACACCAACAACAACGACGGATCCCTCGAGTGGTGTTAATGAGGAGACCACGAGTCCTGCGGACACGGATATGGGCGGCAGCACATCAGACGCAACTGAAGGCGTCGCAACGCTTAGACCACCCTTTCCACTCTCTGCCACCGACAGTAGCAGTGGTCCAAGTGCTGATCCTGAGCCAGCTCTTGAATCCCCCGCTCTTTGCCAGTTGGAGCCTGAAAAGATGCTCAACGATTGCGGCAGTGAGAAAAACTTCTCTGAAAACCATGTACGAGACTTTCGTCGCTCTTCAGTAGGAATCCAATTGTTTTAAAAACTTTTTTTCTATTTCCAGATTTTGCCACTTAGAGCCAAGTTATTTGTTACTTTCTTATAACGCTGCGCAGTCTCCAACTCCTTGTTTGTAACTCAGGGTTATGCACTTACTGAATAAAAACCATTGCTCTTCTGATGTATTGCTTAGGCTCCTCACTGTTGAAGAGGTTGCAGGCAACGTGGATCCTAATGCCTATACCATTCATCTCTTCACTTGTGTACGAAGACGTTGCATAGGTTAATTTCAATTCCTTTCTTTTTTAATCTAGGGGAGCTCTTGTCCAGGCTCATCCGCTTCTACAGTCAAGTCGGAGGAAGATGTGGCGCCACAAAAGTCTTCATCCCAGGGCACTACGACCTGCAATGGTAACACGACAAGAATCGAATGCAGCGATTGGTTCTCCAACATTCTTCCCCATCTTGAGGACACGGACGACGATCTTTCGAGTTGTTTACTCAATCTAACCACCACAAACGCCGTGGAGGCAGTGGGTGCGGGCACAGGTAACAGTACCGATCAACTGACTCTTGCGCTGATGCGCCGCCAACGTGAGTTGCGCCTGGTATGCGCGGCAAACCATAACATCCTTCATCGGCTCATTCAGGCTGCGCGGAGAGATCTGCAGCGGCAGGAGATTCAACGGCGTCTTGCCATTGCTGATGCTGATGTACGTTTTCAATCGGTAGTCGGAGTTAAAGCTAAAACATCATGATAAACCTCTACCATTAATGTCTGGTAAAACTTCGTAAACAATTCGTGCTTGTTGTATGACAGAAGTAAGTTTAACACCTTTGAAGGCGTACTTAGTCCATTTGGGGTAGTACTTAATTAACAATGTAAGATTATGCTATTGATAACTTACCATGACAAACCTTGGTAGCAATGCTTACGATTCTGTTTTAGGCGTATTCATATACAAAAAAAATGAGATTTCCACCATGTAAAATTCATTGTACTGGATGAGCCGTGATTTGGAAGTTATCCTTTCTCCTTCAATTTAATAGGCCATTGAATGATCGGTTTCAGGTTTTAACCATTTGGTTGGAGTCACGAGAAATCGGTAGTTTGGACAGCACTTAGAAGATGTCTCTCAGTCGGCGCTGCGTAGCATCTCGTCCTCGTCCGTATTTGCATACAAATGGCCACAACGAGCCTTTGCAATCTATATGGTGCTTGAATTTATTCCTCAGTTGGAGATTCTCGTACTGTTTGTCTAAGTTATGTGCCTCTCGTCAAACTTCGAACTGAGGACTAAATGTATATCATTTTCGCCAAAAAAAACATGAGCGCAGTTTTTGGAGAATTCGTTTTACTTCTCGTATTTTAGGGTTAAATTGCCTTGTGATCACGGTTAGGATTCATGTTCGATGAGCACATAAAATTCAGCGGTCCGTTTCTGTCTTACCAATTCTCACTCCTGTGAAGCATGAGTCGCACCAGCGCCCCGGACCACCGGACTCACACCTTGATCTTTATTCCGTCCAGTTATGGTTTGCTGAAAAACTGTGCTTTTACAAAATAATTGTCCTTTATCATCATGTTCTGAATTCTGTGCGATAAGATGCTCATTCACGCCACTAATTGCTCCTCAAGCGTGCATTTACTTCGGGGAAGATGTTGACATCAAGCTCATCCCCACCATTACTGTATTTGTCCAGGTAATTGAGGCGTACAACAAGCTGGAGAGCTACAAGGTGCAGAAGCGCTCAGCACTGAAGCGGGATCGCGATTTCGCCTGGAAGGCACTCAAGGAACGCCAGAAGATTCGAGCCGAGCTTGACGCCTTTGACAAGAAGCCTCCCTAACTCTCGCCTGTCCTACTGGCATTCCTTCGTGTGTGTCCTCACTTTGTATAAATTGTATCCACTTTGTATATTTACCGCTCAACAACTTCGGTGGTCCCCGTCCTCCGCTTTTAATACCGTCTCCATTTCGTGTGTACGTGTATGTGTGTTATTATACTACTACCTTCGCAATGCAGCCGCTTTTCTAATTCACAAACAAATGTGAACGTCCATTGCGCCTTCTCTTTCCTTTTCTCCATCTGGTTTGTGTGTGTACGTATGTTTGTTTTGGTAGAAAACGTCGACTTTGAATTAAAGAAGGCTATACTTTAATAGAATATTCATTTTACGGCTAATCACTTAAGTATTGTATGTACTGCTAAACAGCCATCAACATTTCTGCGCATGCCGTCATTTAGTGTGAATGTTGTTGATTAAAAGTGCATCCTCTCCTGTTTATTAACCGATTGTATCATTCT